GAACATGGTGGCCTCTAATTAGTCCTGTTGCCTCTGCTTCTGCCTCCAGCAGAAACTCTGTGAAAAGTTTCGTGCCATGTTGGTAGCACCAGCCAGAAAGTGAGAGTAAAGAAGAAACGTTAAAAAAAAAAAAAAAAAAGGAACAAAATACGGAGGTTTTAGGTTTATAAGCTCTATTTCTCTCAAATAATCCATGTTTTGATGTGTTCTTGAAATCAGAAATCTGACTTGATACTATGGACAAAACATAATTACCCATGTATATTCATTAGTATATTAAATAGAGCATGAAATTTGTAATAAGACAATAGCAGGCTTAAATTTTCGCTTCTACCATGTTCTGTCTGTTGTTCTTGAGTAAATTATTTACACTCCTAAACTTTATTGAATCACTTTAAAAATGGATATAATACAAAATTTGCAAGAGTTTTAACAGGACTAAATTAAATAAGCATGTTTAACACCCAGAACCATACCTGACCCATGCTATACCCTCGTGCACCGCCAGCACCGGTAGAGCTGAGCACGGCCATCAGACAATCAGACACAATGGCAGAAGCTCGCATTACCTCAGTCTCCCTGGAGAAGTTTTACAACATGCTACAAGGAGCTACCAGATTAATGGTAAGGTAGACAACAACTCTCTCTCTCTCTCTCTCTCTCTATCTATCTATCTCTATCTCTATCTCTATCTATCTCTATCATCTATATCTATAACATCTAGATTGATAACAAAAATGAATTATTCAGTACTGAGGGTAGAAAGCAGTGGATGGGAACAGAGAGTTTTAAAGCCAGTGCCACTTTCCATATAATATTCAGAGGAGAGATTTCTGTGGGAGTGACATTTGAGCAGAGATATGAATGAGCAGGAGGAGAAAGGACAGAAATGTTTGGTAGAAGAGCGTTTCTCTCATAAGAAAGAAAAAACAAGCACAAAAGTCCTCAGGTGACAGTATATGTGATGTAGTTGAGAACAGTAAGAAGGGCACTGTGGCTGGAACTGGGTGAACAGGGTAAATAATGGTCGGATATATGACTGGAAAGAAAGTTAGAAGAAAACCACGTGTAATCTTGTTGACTGAATTCAAGAGTGCAAAGAATCACAATCCTGAGAAAGTATCCAAGGAACTGTGAAAATTAATTAATATATTAAAAGGCACTAGATGCTTTATTGGGCCCAAATAAATTCCAGTGGAAAGGCTTGTTCTCTGTCACAGAGGAGTTTGCAATGTAATAATGAAGACCATCACAAAGACATAAAATAGGTAACTATTTGTATAAGGGAGTTCATGATGATATCACATAATCCTAAGAAGAGGAATACTAAGATTTCAAATGAGAGAACAAATGCCATAAAAAAGATTTCAGGTATTTTTTTTAGTCGTGGATTAATTTAATTTGGAAATCGAAGGATCATTTAGAATTAGATACCAGAGATTCCAGACAAAGAAATATCATGTGTAAAGTACAAGTGAAGAGAATTCATAGCACACATTTAAGAGGGGTAAAATCAATTCCTTCTTTTATTTTTGAGGAAATATGTCCATGTAGTTTAGAAGCTAGGTGTGGAGGACCATACATATCAAAATATGGAGCGTGAACTGCTATTTTGGGGTATGTGTTAAAAGACATTGTTGGGTTAGGACAATAAGCGACTCCATGTTCTATGTAGAAAGATTGTGGATAGAGATTTGGAGACCCAAGCAGCTATTGTACAAAGCTCTGGAAGTAAAGGTTAATATTTTTACCACTAATCTCAGCCTTCAGTTTAATATGAATTCTTCTCAAAAACACTCCACAGAGACACTGCCTTCCTTGAGAACCTCTAGAAGACTCCCGTCAGCTTTCTCAGTCTACAGCAGTGAAGGAAATCGCTTTCCAGGGCTCCCTTAGAAGTTGTTTGAACTTTCCATCTGTCCTCATATCTGCCCACAGCTGTGTGTGGAGACCAATGGCTTCCTGTTCTCTTTCACTTTCCGTTCCTTGCCTCAATGCTTCTTATTGCCAAATTCTAACCTAGACCACAAGGAGCGAGGATTTCTGGGAAATGTAGTGCAAGAATCTTCTCTGAAGGCCAGGCGGACCTCGGAGGGAAGCGGCACTGTGATCAGTGAAAACAGACAGCCCAGGAGAGAAAGGAGGATCAGAGGACGAGAGTGGACCCCACACTTCATCCATCTTCACGCAAAGCAGACCAACTCTAACATTATTCTTTCGTATATTTATATTGGACAGATTACACTACTAACACAAAACAAAAGAATATATTCTTAAATGCTACTGTTTTAGATACAAGTTTGTTCTATCAAATACATGAAGACAGTTCTTTTCATGCCCAAATATTATTCAGCCAGAGGCACCCAAAGTTTTTTCCAACTTTTCGTCACATGGATTGATGAAACATTTACTGTTCTTGTTATTCTCATCTGTTTCTCTTTGTCATTCTCTAATGCTTTTAAAATGTGATGCACAGAATTTAACACAGGTCCCGTGATGAAATCTGAGTACTAGAGTACAAGGGGGGGGGGGGTATTTCCTTCAATTATTTTGTTGCTATCTTTATATTTAGGCAGCCAAACTCTAAATGATTTAAAATTAGTTTCACACTTCTGACTAATATTGTGCTTTCAATATAAATTTTCCAGTATTTTGCACGTGAACCACTGCCAAGCTGGGTCACCTTCCCTGAACAGATTTTGGAATCATCCACACAAAATCAAAAGCTGAAGCCAAATACATGGTGAAATTTCCAAAGAAAAGCTAGCAAATAATATAAATAGCAAACACAAAGAGACAGCAAGTTAAATCTACACTTTGTAGACCTAGTTCATATCTAAAATATCTTAGTGAGAAATTAAAAATTAGGAAAAAAGTAAATGTTACTTGTGAAATAAACAAATAACAAATAATTAGGACAAATAAAGAAGTGATAGGAAACTAGGATAATTTGCTATTAAAGCAGTTAAGAAAAAAACCATAGCATAACAGGTTTACTGTCTAAGCACAGATTGAATAGCTTGGATGAGGACCTGTGTTAAACAAGAATCAGAAGCAAATATGTGGTGAGAAGTTATAATATCAGTGTTGGAACTGAGAGAAAATAGTGATATAGGAAGGCAACTGATAAGTACATTTTCTTCACTAAAATCATAACCCAAGAACATATAGAGAATATGGGAGCTTCATGCCTCCAAATGAATGTGAAATCATTTAAATTTCAAAAGACATGACATGACCCATAATCCATTTATAGTTTTAAAAATAACTTAAAATAGAGTTTTGTTTAGAACATTGAGTATCTTAGCTAGACCTCTTCTATGTTTATCTTTTAAATACATTTTACTATAAGGCATACATTTTAGAATGCCTAAAGAAAAAAATATTGTTATTATTGTGTGACAAATTGCAGAACAGTCTAAGCAGCTGCAAGAAAAACATTGTCATTACTGAATTAATCATTTCAAAGTAGACCAGAAGGGACCATTATCCCTCTGGATATAGAGGCATGTTGTTCTTTGGTTTAGCTAAGCCAGGAGCTCCAAATTGTAATGAAATGTGCATAATTAAATGACTGCAGTTGGACTTTGATATTTAGTTGTTTATATTGATTTTATATGGTTCATATCATTTCAATAGTAGTTCTCGGCCATGTCATGAAATATTTTCAAAGAAGAATTTGACTATAGAATTACAAAGCACGTATCTCCTTCCTTGTATTTCTATATTATCATTTAATTCACTGATCTGCTTAAAGGATTAAACAAGAAAATTAACATAATATACTGTATTAAAATTCTATCTAAGAAAAACAATTGGAAAGCTTTTAAATGACTAAATGTTATTAGGGGTTTGAAAGGGTGTTTAATGTTAAGAGGTTTTTAATAAGTAGCAACTATAAACTTAATGAGCTTTATCTCACATAAATTATTCCCTTGAGTTGGAAAGGGAAAGTTCTACCCTTTATAATTGGTTGTTCTAGTAATAATAATCTAATCATTAATAATGATAATAGTAACAATAGCAACAATGGCTAGCATTTTATACAGGGCTTGCTTTATGTCAGGGACTGTATTGTTTTTATTTTTATTTTTATCTTTATTTTATTTATTTATTTGTTTGTTTTTTGGTACGTGCCCCTTATGGGAACTGAACCCAGGACTCTGGTCTGCAGGCCGATGCTCCAACCACTGAGCCAAACTGGCCAGGGCTACTGTATTGTTTTTAAAAAGATTCTTTCTAGGGCATGAAACATGATGGTTATAAAACTGTTGTAATTGCTTATTCTATTCTAGAATAAAGATAACGTAAAAAAAATTTCACATTTTAAAGTTCACACATTTAAAGTGTATAATTCAATGGATTTTTAGTATCTCTATAAAGGTGTGTGTATATATGTATAGTATGATCTCAAGTTGGAAAGGGAGAAAAAAAAAATGCTTTGGTGTCTCTTCCTACAAAGTTGCTAATCTCACAAATCACGAGGATCCCACCTTCATGACCTCATCTAAAGCTAATTACCTCCAGAAGCTCCATCTCCAAATACCGGCACATTGGAGATAAGACTTCAACACTAAATTTTGGTTGATACAACACAGTCCATGGTGGAGAAGTTGTAAGAAAAATGCAAAAGAAGAGTTTTTACAGGAAAGCCTGCTAGCTCTTCAATTAAAAAAAAAAAAAAAAAAAAAAAGGAGGAAAAAAGGTGGCTGCGAAAGTGGGTATATAAAGATATGCCAGGAGCAGTCAAGAAAAATTCATTTAAACAACTTTTAAAATCCAAAGTAGACAATATCTAGATCTGTATTGCCTATAAAATGTAAATAAAGCCATAATGAAGTCCATTATGCAATGTTTACATTGCATTCTATAATAAAAATGTGCCAAGCATACAACATTTATGTTAAACTTAAAAAAGTTGTCCAGTGCAATGACGGTAATTATTTTAACCTCTGATAATACTGCTATGTCCCTGTTACTAAAATATTAAATTTCCTTACCATCGTGTAGCTGTGAGCCACCTTCATTAATTCAATGCACCCTTGAGCATCTGCAAACGCTCGGATTCCTAGACAGTTGGATGGATGCAGAAGCTTCATGAGGAAATGGCAGCACACTTCTACCACTTGGGGAAGCTGAAGGAGGCACGCTGCAGCCAGGAGGTTTTCGATGGTGTCTTCTTTTAATTCCAAACAACCTAAACAGTAAGTGGAGAGGGTTATGAAACTCTATGTAGAACATGAAATAACATGTACTACTATATTACTCAAAATATGAGGCCAATCTGCTAGAAATGTGTCGAACCTAGATTGATAAGATAACTATAACTCCATGAAGGCCAGCAATTGTTTTAAGCATTTTGCTTTTTTTAAACAATGTATCTTCATTGTTGAAAGTATTACAGGTAACTCCCTCTTTTTCCCCTATTGATCCCCTCCTTCGTGTTCCAGCCCCCTCTCCTGCCTTCATCATACTATTGTGCCCCACCCACCTTCCCTCTGAGGTTCATTAGTCTGTTCCCTGCTTCAATGTTTCTGTATCTGTTTTGTTTGCCAGTTTATTTTGTTTGTTACATTCCACATAGAAGTGCAATAATGTGATACTTGTCTTTCTCTGACTGGCTTGTTTCCCTTAGCATAATACTCTCCAGGTCCTTCTATGTGGTACACTTACAGATTGGAATACTATGAAGCTGTAAAAAAAGAAGGGTCTCTTACCCTTTGAGACATCTTGCTTTTTTATTAAAGTTAACTTACAATATTATATTAGTTTCAGGTGTACAACAGAGTTATTCACCATTGATATACCTAATGAGGTGATCACCACGATAAGTATAGTAACCATCAGTGACCATACAAAGTTACTGTGATGTTCCTTATGCTGTACATTAAATCCCAGTGACTTATTTTATAATGTAATGTTTGTACTTTTTTATTCCCTTTCATATCTTTCAACCATCCTCATCTCCTACACTCTGGCAACCATCACTTTGTTCTCTATATATGAATTATTTCATGTTTTGTTTTTTTTGTCCATTTGTTTTATTTTTTAGATTCCATATATAAGTGAAATAATACTGTATTTGTCCTTCCCTGTCTGACTTATTTCATTTAGCATAATACCTTCTAGGTCCATCTATGTTGTACTAGATTTCAAGATTTCACTTTTTATTATGGTTGAGTAATATTTCATTTTATATTGTACCACATATTCTTTATCCATTCATCTACTAATGAAAACCTAGGTTGCTTCAATATCTTGGCTATTATAAATAATACTGCAGTTAACATAGGTGTGCATATATCTTTTCAAATAAGTGTTTTCATTTTCTTCAAATAAATATTCAGAAGTGGAATTGCTGGTGTAAGAAACAGAAAACAGGCCCCTCTTCTCTGTGTAGTGGTTTTCCCACCACTTATGAGAAGCACCTGGTAAATAAAGGTGGAGATGCTGGTTCTTCTGATTCAAACCTCCACTCTATTCAAATAGGGGGACAGATAAGGGCTGGGATCAGGGCTGCATTTTCTCTTACCCCCTCTTTCATGCTGTTTTAACAACTCTGGGATAATTCACACCAATCTCTAGATAGTAGAATGTTTCCTTTCCCTGCCCCTTCAGATAAGCCTCTCCCTTTCGAACTCTTTATAACTTTTACTCTGAGCTTACTTTACAGGCTAGAGAAAATGCTGATAAAGACATCTCCTTAGGACATCTGCCAGACTGTCTCCTGGAAAGCAAACAAACTGTAACTTTTTAAGACAACTCCTGGCATCTGGGCATCTGGTCAACTTCAACACAATCCCTGTATCATTGACTCCCTAAAATCCCCAATAAACGAACAACTCTATTTTTGTTGCCCTATATTGCCTATCAGGACATTGGCCCTTTCCTCCCTTGGAAAGTAAAATAAAGTTCCTAAGTTTATCTTTCTCTCTTCTCTCAGCTGTGAATTTTTTTTTTTTAAATCCTCACCCAAGGATACTTTTTTTCCATTTTATCTTCAGATAGAGTCAGGGAGGGGGAGGGAGAGAGAGAGAGAGAGAGAGAGACAGAGAGAGAGAGACAGAGAGAGAGAGACAGAGAGAGAGAGAGAGAGAGAGAGAGAGAGAGAGACATCAATGTGAGAGAGAGACATCGATTGGTTGCCTCCCACATGACCCCTGACCAGGGCCTGGGAAAATCTGCAACTGAGGTATGTGCCCTTGACTGGAATTGAACCCACAGTTCTTTGGTCCACAGGCCGATGCTGTGCCAAACCAGCCAGGACAGCTGTGAAGTCTTTCACAAGCCTGTGTCACCAGCCAAACCCTACCAGCTGAGTTTTAAGATATCTCTATTTTTTAAATGTTGAGTTACTTTCATATTGTTTTCCATAGTGACTGCAACAATTTACGGTCCCACCAACATGCACAAAATTTTCCTTTTCTCCACATCCATGAGAACACTTATTTGTTGTATTTTTGATAGTAGTCAGTCTGACAGGTGTGAGGTAATATTTCATTGTCGTATTAATTTGCATTTCTGTGATAATTAGTGATACTGAGCATCTTTTCATGTGACTGTAAGCCATCTGTATGTTTTCTTTAGAAAAATATCTATTCAGTTCCTCTGTTCATTCTTACTTCATATAATGTTCAAAATCATCTAGTACATACAAATTCAGTTTAAACTAAAATATCTGTGTTCACTTCAGCAGAAATTATGGTTCTTCCTTTGCCTGTAAATTGAAAAGAGCAAGAGAGAGAAATGTTTCACAATATATGTATATATAGCTTAGGAAAGTATAGTTTTACTAAGTTTCTGACAACATATGTGCATATAAATTAGAAATACCTATGTATGGTAATTAATATATGTATATATATTTATATATACGTGTATTATAGATTGTTAATATTGTATTTATTTCACTGTACCCATGTTTATAATTTTCTATATTTTTTCTTTCCTTTTGGTTAATCATCTTAACCTCATAAAATGAGCCCTGCAGTATTTTCTTTCTTTTTTTTACAATGACTAGAATAAGGATGTTTCTGGAATGTTCACAGAACTCATCTGTGAAAACTCCTGGGCTCAACTATCTGAGGCTAGAATTTATTTAGCACTCAATACATTTTTAATAGTTCTAGTCTCATTCAGGTTTTCTATCAGTATTGAGGTTTTTCTAAGATATACATTCCCAGAAATGGTTTATTCTACCTTAGATTTTGCGCCCAGACTGCTACTCTTCACTAGAAATATCTTCACTCATTTCTCCGGGCCAGACCACATGTTAATGGACTATGTCCAGAGGATGTGTAATAATACCATACCAAAGCATTCATAATGTAAATATGCATTATTCATGTTCTCTTTCTCTCTCAACAGCTAATTAAAATGACATAAAACCCCAGTGGATGGAGAATACATAAGTAAGGAGCCTGGATTCCTGAATTATTGCCTAGAACTGTTAGCTTCATATAGTAATATTCAATATTTAAACTAATCATACTCAAATAATAAACTCTGCATGCTTGAATATTTAAGTATTATTAGTTAAACACTAAATATTACTATATATAGTATTTTTATATAAGCATTATATTTGTAGTATATAGTATTACTACATGTATGTATTTAGAGTTTTATAGGTTTCTGCAGTCTAATCTCCAAATTGAACAATTTTAATTTAATTTTAATTAATCGTTACCTGTATTTATGTGAAAAATTTTATACCATACATTTATTTTTGTTTTCTGTCATTTTTATTTTGTTAAATTCTTCAGTCATTTTAGTGGATTGTACATTTGCCTTATCATTTCAGAAGTACCTTTTTGGTTTTTGTTAATAATATAGAGTAATGATAATTGACTGAGTTCTATTAGAAGTAAATAAACTCAAAATGGATAAAAGACTTAAATGTAACTCATGAATCCATAAAAATCCTAGAAGAGACTGTAGGCAAAAAAATTTCAGACATCATACGCAGCAGAATTTTTACTGACACATCACCTAAAGCAATAGAAACAAAGGAGAAAATGAACACATGGGACTACATCAAACTCAAAAGCTTCTGCACAGCGAAAGATACAATCATCAAAACGGAAAGGCTACCCACTGTATAGGAGAGCATAATTGCCAATGATATATCAGATAAGGGGTTAATTTCCAATACATATAGAGTGCTCATACAACTCCACAAAAGGAAAACAAAGAATCCAATTAAAAAATGGTCAGAGGAACTAAATAGACACCTCTCCAAACACAACATACAAATGGCTAAGAAACACATGAAGAAATGCTCATCATCACTAATCATCAGAGAGATGCAAATTAAAATAACAATGAGGTATCACCTCACACCTGTCAGAATGGCCGCCATCAACAAATCATCAAACAACAAGTGTTGGTGAGGGTGTGGAGAAAAGGGGACTCTAGTACACTGCTGGTGGGAATGCAGACTGGTGCAGCCACTATGGAAAACTATATGGTGTTACCTCAAAAAATTAAAAATTGAACTTCCATTTGACCCGGTGATCCCATTTCTAGGAATATACCCTAAGAAGCCTAAAACACCAATCAGAAAGAATATATGTGCCCCCATGTTTGTAGCAGCACTATTTACAATAGCTAAGATCTGGAAACAACCCAAATGTCCATCAGTAGACGAATGGATAAAAAAGCGGTGGTACATATACACAATGGAGTACTACGCAGCTGTAAGGAAGAAAGACCTTTTATCCTTTGAGACTACATGGAGGGACCTGGAAAGTATCATCCTAAGTGAAACAAGCCAAACAGAGAAAGACAAGTTTCATATGATCTCCCTTATTTTTGGAATATAATGAACATAACAGTCTGAGGAAGGGGGTAGTCCCAGAGACGCGGAAATGGGATACAGACTGACAATTCCCTAAATAGGGGGGTGGTGGGGAAGGGATAAACCACAGAACTTATATGCATGTATGCATGAAGAGTGGACATGGACAACAAACTGGGGAAAAGGCAGGGAGGGAGGGGGAGGGGGGAATCAATGGGGGAAAAAGGAGAAACATCTGTAACAAAAATTAATAAAAAAAACTATTTTATTAATATTGTTTATAAATTATTGCCTAACTAAATATGAACATATAGGTCATTATTAATTCTGGAAAATTATTGTCCATTTTCATTGAAATGGTTCTTCCTCCCCACCTTTGTTTCCTTGATTTTTTCTTA